AATAGATGTTGTTACATAAGCTCCGACCAGCAAACACCGGGCGCACTTTGAAAACTCTTAGACAAAAAGCGGCACAGAAAATTCAGGATTACTGCCAACAATGCATCGTCATGCCCGAAAACTGTCAAAAAGTTTTGCCTATCGTGATTACTCGTGGATAATGTTTTGGTCAGCGCACTCTTCAACCTTATTTAGTAACTTTCTCACGTCCCTCTGAGGGAGTTTCAGTTGTCGCAGCTCCCGCGAATGTGCCGCTGTTGCTAGTTGTTTCTGTGTGATCATCGATGAAGGCAGGCTTTACTCAGCTGATGCTAACATAGCCTGTCTTTTTGAACCTTTCGGTCGTAAAAACTTTATCACTTCGACTTGAGACTTTTCACGGACCATCATAAGCTGGTTGTTGTGACCACCGGACGCCATCTTTTCTGACAAAAACGTGGGTTAGCTGAGGTGAAACATGTGACGATCCTTGTAGCGCTCGTGGGAGTGATATTTTTAACTCGTCCATGTGCTTTTTCAGTGGTTACACACAGCTGGCCGTATCCAATGGGACTTGGTTGTCCATGGTGGCAAATTCTCTTGGTAATCGTAATGTTGTCCCATAGACTAACTCTGAGGCAGAACACCAAATATTTCCCTTTAAAATAGATCTAATTCCAAGTAGTACCAAAGCGAGTTTGATAGACCAATTATTGTCAGTCAAAGCACCAGTAAGTGCTGCCTTAAGTTGTCTGGATAAGCGTTCTACCATACCATTAGAAATAAGGTGATATGCTGTCGTGCGTTTGCGTTCGATGCCAAACAAGCCAATGAGTTGTTGGAATAAGCAATTTTCAACTTGTACACGTCGATCAGTCCTGATGGCTGAGGGACACCAAAGCTGGATATCCAGTGGGTCACTAAAGCTTTGGTAACTGTTTCGGCTCAAATGTCCAGTGGTGAGATGGTAACAGGCCAGGGAGTAAATCGATCTGTGTGTGTAAGGCGATAGTTGAAGATGTTGGAAGGAGGCAGTGATTTAACTAAATCTACGTGGATATGGTCAAGTCTGGCTATAGGAGTAGAAAATTGACCAAGTAGGGTGTTGGTGTGACGATCCACTTTTGCTGGTTGACATTTCAGGCGAGTTTATGTCTACCGTTTTACGTCGCGATTTATACTTGGCCACACAAATCCCTCGCCAATCAGCTTTGTCGTGGCACGGATCCTAGGGTGAGGTAAGTTACGCAGTTTGTCAAATACGGCGGGTCTCACTGCTTTAGGAATGAATGGACAAACTTTTCCAGTGAATTTCTCACATATGACTCCGACGGTGTTAAACTGAACTTCAGAGAAAACGAGGGAAGTCTGATGACACTAATTTCTCCAGTTCGAAATCATTCCTTTGCAGCTCAGATAGGCGTCTGTAATCAGTGTCTAGGCACAGCACATTATTGAGATGTATGCTCAACAATGTATCAGCAACTCCCTTTCTGGTACCTTTAATATGTTGAATATCATAAGTAAACTGCGATACAAACTCTAAATGTCGCATTTCACGTGGTGAGCAGTCGTCTTGTTTGGCTAATAAGGCCTTACTCAACGCCAGTGGTCCGTGAAAACTGTAAAACTAGTACCCTCTAACATATGCCTAAAATGTTTAATAGCTAGGTATAAAGCTAGTAACTGTGCACCGAATGTACGGTAACGGCACGGAGCTGGGTTTAAACGTTTTGAAAATAATGCTAGCGGTTGCCATCCTCCACTTGCCTTCAGTCGCAAAACTGCTCCAACAGCAATATTGGGGGCATCTGTCATGAGTAATAATGGAGCGTTTACGTCTCTCCTGAAGAGAATGGCTGTTTCGTCGACAAGTTGCTATGCTTTTCCGAATGATTTGATAGCTTCCGTAGACAATTAGAGAGGGCGGGAAAGTCCACACAAACAATCGGTTAACGGTTGTAAAACAGCTGCTCAGTTAGGGATGAGACGACGGTAGAAGTTGACTAACCCCGAAAAACGGCTTGGTTTCTTAAATGAGTCTAGTAGCGAGCAGTCTTTTATAACTTTTGCTTCGTCTGGAACTGGTTTTACACCTAGTTTGTCCATTAAATGTCCTAAGAATTTTAATGAGCGTTTCTGAAATCGCACTGATTACTATCCCGTATTTGTCGGGCTGTTCAAAGACGGCTTTCAGATGGTTTATGTTTTCTGTCTCATCTGAACTGGCGATGAGTAGGTCATCGATGTAAGCAAAGACGAAAGGCAGTCCACGAAGGACCTGACCAGTGAACCATTGAAATATCCGGGCAGCATTCATACGTTCTAAAGGCATGCAAACCAATTCATATTACCTGAAGGGAGTATTAACAACTGTCTTCTGGATGTCATCGAGATTAATAGGAACATGGTAGTAGGTCCTAACGAAATTCGTCCTTGAGAAGACATCGACGTTGGGCAGCTTGTTGGCAAAATCATGGAAATGGACCAGGGCTCGTTTGTTTGTTAAGAGCTCGGCAGTCTCCGCATGGGCGGAAGCCAAGAGGAAGCTTCTTTGGTACCGTGTGCGGTGGAGAGGACCATGCACTATTGGGGGGTCGGATCACACAGAGCTCAAGCATTTTGTCAAATTCTCCTCTGGCAATCTCAGGCCTGTGCGGATCAAGGCGTCTGGGACGTGAGAAAGCTGGTGGTCCGTTTGCTCAGATGTGATGCACGACGTCACGTTTCAGGTCTGTTTGGCGATAGTCATGTTGCAGTAGACCAGGAAATGAGTTGGGAGGCTTTGTATATGGCAAAGTGGCCGCATGAGCAACTGCTGACTTCGTAGATGTCGATGTTGCATTAACTAACCTCTGTCTCTTCGGATCAACCGGTAAGTCACATTGGGGTAGAAAATCATTTCCAATGATCGGTTGTGGCATATCTATAAGTATAAATGATCAAAAGCAGGCACTAAGGCCAAAATCCTCTGTCATCGTTTTTTGCCCGAAAGTAGCAATACTGGATTTATTTACGGCCTGTAGAGATAAAGACGAGTTGGGACTGAGACGTTCATAGTAGTTGGGGGGAATGACACTTACTTCGGCTTCCGTGTCCACAAGAAAGTTAACGCCATCATTTTTACCCGCCAGTTTTGTATACTGATCCGGTGTATTCACAGTACAACCCGACTCAAAAGTCATTGCAACAACAATATCATTTAAACACGATACAAGCGAACAAATATACATTTGTTATACTAACGTAGAGTAACGGAATATTAGGGAAATGCACTACCGACAGTGCAGACACATGACAATGATATATCAGCGAAAGACCGAACGTTATAAAACAAATATATCCCAGTAACATGTTTTCAGCCAGCAGATATGATGACGCGGACTTAAAGGGTCCAAACATGTCTTGGCGAAAACGATGAAGGACGGTTACTACTTCTGAATTCAGCCAACCGAAGAAAGTAAACGAAACCTTTACGAACGTCGCACTACACCCGAGGGCCATTGTTGCGTTCTCGAAAACTTTCTCTCAGTTTACGGTACGGACAAGCGTAAGCATAAGCATGCTCTGAAATGCTATTCAAATTCGCAGTTTTTAATGAGTCATGAGGGTGCGTAAATTCGAAGGTGGGTAAATGGAGTAAATGGAGGCGTTAGAGGTACTGAGTAAGTTCCATAATTATCTGTGTAATCGATTCTTTAATATGCCTTATTTGTCCGCCCTTATCATCCGTATAGTTATTCTGATAGCAATAATAGTAATATTTATTCCTGAATGTAGAGGCACACACCACTTTGGTCTGTATGAATAAGTTACTGTATGAATTACACACGTGCCATATATTCACATAATGGAACATCGCAGCAGGATAAGTATACAAAAATTTACAGGTTGGACAAGTGGAAGTATTGTCTTCGCATTAACAAAGAAAAACAGGGTTTATATCTCCACACTACATGTATTACCTGGAGAAAAATAGAACTTGGAGCTGATACTTCTATTGTAACGGTCTGTACTTTTTGCTTGAGATAACGATGAAAAGTTTATGAGGGGATGTATGCACAAGTTGTTCACTTATTATACTTCATTGATGATTCCAGAGATGTATAATTCATGTCTTTTAATACCATTTCACATCAAAGATTCATAATCTTGATGAATATTACGACTGAGAGCCAAATATCTTCACTTTCCCAACTCCGGCGTCCAGAAGCAATATATTTGTTTGAATGTACCGAGTGGACTTCCAGGACATCTTGTCCGCCGTTTTCACTGGTCGTAACAGCCTTGTTCTGGGTGTCACATAAAGCTATCCCCCGACTTGTTATGAGTTGTCACGCTGGTTTGGGAAAATGCGTGTTTTCTGTTTTCTGGAGGTATTTCTTGCCTTTTTCTAAGCTATGAAACGCAGTTAATCATTTCGTCCTCCTTCTTACGGTCTATTTGCTGGACAACAGCTTGCTGTGCTAAACGTCTTTATTTGAGAAATTGCAACTGACGTGTTATTTTATTTGTGAAGGAAGACGGTCAGAAATGAAAGGATGGTTATTGGACCTTCAAATTATTATGACGAAGAATTTAAATTGTAATGTTGACCTGAAGTCAACCTGTCGATCATAGTAAGTGAAGTCTAGAAGGAAATCAAAAAGCAGCTGTTCTTTCGGCTAAATAAATAGAGTGAATGAGAAAAATCGGTAAATGAATGGAAAATTTTGGCTTGGATGGGGATATTGTTTCTGGAGGGCGTTAAAAGAGGAGTAAAGGGTAAAGGTATGTTTTCAGGCCACGATGAAGAATTGAAGTTGACACTTAAGGGGAAGTGATGCGGAGATCAGGTGTAAAATCCGGAAAGTATATACATATATATATATATATATATATATATATATATATTCGTTTTCTGCTTTTCACCCCTTCAACGTAATAGGGTTTAAAGTGAAAGCTATTTAAGGAGGGAGAAGCAGATAAAAAAAGGGAAAGACCGTAATAGGGGGAAATCGGTTTCTTTTCCCCACGTATGTCGCTTTATTTCATCACTGAGCTTCCCCTGTTATCTATTTATTTCCCCCTTTCTGGTCTGTATGATATTGGATACTTTTCTGTTTTCAAGCAGGTTGGCTCCTGCAAGACAGATGAAAACTGCTTTACCAGGTGAGTAGGGAGACGCACTACATCGGAGATCTGGGAGTATCCCGCAAGACGTAAAAGCTGGCACAAGAAAATCAGTTGGTTTTACAAGCTTGAAAAAAGGTTGGGTGTTGTAAAGTGAACTTGAAGTACGCTTCCTTTTATTCTTCAGATTAATACATGAAGTTATACTTGTGCTCGGTAAGTGTTGGACTTTCCTGGTCATTTTCATAATGATTCACAGGTAAACACTGTCTATCTCATCTTCCCCTTTCGCCCCTCATAAACAGATTGCCAGAATAGTTTATATCGGCATATTTTGCATTGAGATGCGCTGCGTATTTTTTGGTAAAGGTCTACAAAATATCCCTACCTATTATCTGACAAAGCAAAGATCAGAAGACAAGGCTGAATATTTGACTAAGCGATAGTAGGACTTCCTAGGACCAACAGTGTAAATGGTAATATTCGTCTCACTTTGAAATAACGTTAATGGAAACGGGATGAACACCTATAAGTTCCTATCACCTATAAGTCATTGAAATTTTCAAGGGATATTGACGGCCTCACGCTGAAGCAATCTATATTTTTGTGTGCTTAGCTTTAAAACGCCAATGGTATCAAGGCCTTAGGTAATTAGTTAGTGTGGTGTAACAGCAAGGAACGTCGAGGAATAGATGTATCTTCTTAGCACACTATTCCCTACAGGCTATTTTAGAGTGAGGTTTTGTGGCGTAAATATCATTTTGTCATTTATATAATCATTCCTCAGCCCCTACAATTTTTGTACACAGGCCGTATGTAAATGTGTTAAAATTTATCTGTCGAAACGACATATATACGGACAACTGAAACTAGTGCCTAGCTTGTCGGTGAGTATTAGTCTTAAGTATTTCTCCATGGTGCTGTGGGAATGTTGTGTTCCACAGAGACATTACGATACTTTCCGAGAGTCAGGAGTGCGGAGAAACATGCTTCGGCGTTAACCGAGATTAGATACTAGTTCATTAATATCTATCCACTCTGCAAGTAATCTGAGATCACTTTGAAGAGCACTTGATTCTGCTTCGGACGTCACAGCTCTCCATAACTTAATATCGTCAGCGTAAAGTAGATCGTTCACAAAAAGAAGGAACGGCGGCGGACCCAGAATCTCTTCTCTTGACACGCCAGATGATGATATCCTCCAAGTCGAGTAAACTCTGTTGGCTTTTGTGAAGAGTTGTCTGTCGTCTAAATGGTCCTGTAGTCAGGACAGCACTTAACCCTTGATGCCCAACCTTGATATTTTGCGAATAAGAATGACATACTGGACTGTGTCAAAAGCCCTGCAAAATCTAGGAAAATAGCGTGAAAGGGAATTCGGAAGCCCCAGCATACCGCCAACTTATCACCAACCGCCGGAATGTTTGGGGCGCAGGACCTACCCTTTCTGGAACCATGTTAAGCATCAACCAATGCTCCCCCCTTTTCCGAGTACTCTCTGACATTGTCGTCTACTAGGCATGCCATTATTTTTGGCACCACTGTTGGAAGGGCTATGGGTCGATAGTATTTTTGGTTCCGCCTATCTCCTTTTTAAAATGGGGGACAGAATGGAAAGTTTCTACCTTCGTGGAGGCATGCGACTGTCTATACAGTGTTAAAACATTACGGAGCAGACCGCATAATGCATCCTGGCATTGTTTCAACACAGCCAACCGGATGTCATCGCATCCTGGTGTTTTCCCTACGCGGAGCTTTGATGACTTTTCGAGGACCATAGTAGGGGTTACCATTAATCCAGGCAACTCTACTGCATTTGGTAGTGCCGAATGTTGGTCGGGCAGATAGCAGTCTTGGTTAGATGGCGACGTGTTCATTTGTAGGTTAAAGGCTGCGCCAGAGGCCTCAGCTATCTCTAGTCCGTAGAGGTTCTCTCCGTTTGGGCCCTTCAGGGCGCAAGCTTCCTGGCTAGTGAGTTTTCTGCCTGCCATAAATCGACATAGATTTGTGGGGTTCGCCTCAAGCTTCTGGGCGATGTTTGTCTGGAACGACCTCCTGTCTCCCCCTCACTTTGGTGTTGCATCGATTTCCTAGAGGCGTATACGCGGTATGATCAGGCTTTCTTCTGGAGATCCTCTGCCTATGCTAAGCTTCCCTCTTGGCTTTCAAAAGTGGTTCACTGCCTCAATTCAGCTGAGGTTCACTTCCTTGGTATCGCTGTGATTGCTGCAACGTTTTCAGGGGCAGCCCCCATGATTATATTTCTAACTAGTCCTCGGTGTTGATCAACTGAAGGTTACTCCGCTCCTGAGGCCATGGTATTATCGGCAGATATTGATTCGTCGCCATGTAGTCCGCCTTGCTGTAGCAAAGACAAGGGCAAGGTCCCTCCCAGGACAGTTGTTCTTTGGATACCAGATGGAACACTACCACACCATGATAGCTGCTGTCAAGGGGGGTTTGGACCCTAACGTTTTCAGCCAGCAGATGGTCTCTGGTGAAAAAGTAGTCCAGTCTGGGTGGTTTGCCGCTCGAACCTCAGCGAGTGTCATCGTCGTTACCCTCATGCAGTCCGGCCTTTTTAATAGTGTTGAGTAGGTTTCTTTCGAGCATTTGGCTTGAGGTTTGTCTGTCCTGCGAAAGACTGACAGCTGGAGTCTCTGGCTGTAATGGCCTGGTCGTATCCCATGGACGTCGCTCCGGACATTACTTGGAGCAGCTGTCGGTTATGTTCCACGTTGCTGGTAGGAGTTCTGTGGACGCCTACTACGAGGTTCCTGGTATGTACAACCGTAAAGTGGCGCCAGATTGAGCCTGGGTGCCCTAAAAGTGAGGGCTCGGAGGCTCGTTCACTTGTAAACATTGCCATTCCACCTCATTCCTTAAACTATCTGTCTCCCGAACAGACACATACCGTCTGTACTAGTTTCAGTGTCACCAATATCCTGTGATAGCCGAGCTTTTGTTAGGATTATGACCTTCGAAGCAAGGTGGAAACAGAGAGATCGT